TCTTCAGTTACCTTTTTTTTTTTTTTTTTTTAGACAGGGTCTGGCTCTGTCACTCAGGCCAGAGTGCAGTGGCATGATTTCAGCTCACTGCAGGCCTCCGCCTCCCAGTCTCAAGTGATCCTCCCACCTTGCCCTCCTGAGTAGCTGGGACTACAGGTCACACCACCACGCACAGCTAATTTTTGTATTTTTAGTAGAGACAGGGTATCACTCTGTTGCCCAGGCTAGTCTTGAACTCCTGAGCTTTTCAAGCGACCCTCCTGTCCCAGCCTCCCACAGTGCAGTGATCTTTTTTAAGCCATAGAACACATTGAACATTTTTTTTTTTTTTTTTTTTTTTTTTTTTGAGATAGGCTGTCTGTCACCCAGGGTGGAGTGCAGTGGTGTGATCTCGGCTCATTATAACCTCCGCCTCCTGGGCTCAAACCTTTCTCCTACCTCAGTCCCCCAAGTAGGACAACAGGCACCACACCTGGCTAAATTTTGTATATTTTGTAGAGATGGAGTTTTGCCATGTTGGCCAGGCTGGTCTCAAACTCTTGGCCTCAAGCGATCTGCCCACCATGGCCTCCCAAAGTACTGAGATTACAGGCGTGAGCCACTGCTCCGAGCCTCCATTGAACATCTTAAACATCTTTCTGAGATGTTGAGATTCATATTTCCAATTCCCAAAGCTGGGACACAGCCTTTTCTTTATGTTCAGTCTCTGTAAGCATCAGCATGTCACATGAAACTCAGCGACCCTCAGGAACCCTGCCATCTGGGGCAGCTGTCATGCTGACCACTAAATCACAGAGAGGGTAAAATGGAAAACATGAATGATTTTCAACTTTATGCATGAGATTTCAGATACAGTTTGGATTTACAATGGGAAGCCTCTGGTTACCCCATCAGGAGACAACACCCAACGCATAGTAAGCACTCAGTAAACGTTTACATATTTACAAAATGATCAGGTCAGGCCAGACATGGTGGCTCACACCTGTAATCCTAATCCTAAGTTTTTTGTTTTGTTTTGTTTTGAGACAGAGTCTTGCTCCGTCACCCAGGTTGAGTGCAGTGGTGCGATCTTGACTCACTGCAACCTCCGTCTCCCAGGTTCAAATGATTCTCCTACCTCAGCCTTTTGATTAGCTGGAATTGTAGGCATGTGTCATGACGTCTGACTAATTTTTGTATTTTCAGTAGAGACGATTTCACCATTTTGACCAGGCCTCAAGCGATCTGCCCACCTCAGCCTCCCAAAGTGCTGGGATTATAGGTGCGAGCCACTGCGCCCGGCCAATCCTAGCACTTTGGGACTCTGAGGAGGGAGGATCGCTTAAACCCAGGAGCCTAAGACCAACCCCATCTCTATGAAGAAAAAAGAATTATCATCCCTTCCCCAGAGAGGCCTGATGTCCCTTTCTGACACACACGCACACACATCACACATGCACACTGACACACAGGCCTAGGGATGTAGCACCCCTTTCCCCTACATTAAATGACACTGGCCGGGCGTTGTGCCTCATACCTATAATCCTAGCATTTTGGAAGGCCAAGGTGGCAGGATCATTTGAGGCCAGGAGTTCACTGCAGTGAGCTATGATCGTGCCACTGCACTCCAGCCTGAGACACAGAGCAAGACCCTCTCCTCAAAAAAAAAGAATGAAAATCTTTTTAAAAAATGGCACCAAGCTGTAGTGCTATTGAGTCCTGTGCTGCCTGTGTGGTGATGCAGTCCCCTTCCCTCTTTCTGTTGGAAGAAATATGCTGATAACACCTTCTAACCTTCTTGGTCTGCTCTCTTTTTTTGGTTTGTTGAAATTCGTTTTATGTGTGTGGGCATTTTTTTTTTTTTAATTTACCAGGGAGATGCAGCATTTGATATAAAACGAAGGTACATTCCCCATTTTAACGTATGCAATTCAGTGGTCTGTTTTATTTTTACTTTTTAATTTATTTTATTTTATTTTTGAGATGAAGTCTCAGTCTGTCGCCCAGGCTGGAGTCCAGTGGCGCGATCTCAGCTCACCACAACCTCTGCCCCCCTGGGTTCAAGCAATTCTCTTGCCTCAGCCTCCCGAGTAGCTGGGATTACAGGTGCCTGCCACTGCGCCTGGCTGATTTTTATATTTTTAGTAGAGACGGGGTTTCACCATCTTGGTCAGGCTGGTCTTGAACTCCTGACCTCATGATCCACCTGCCTCAGCCTCCCAAAGTTCTGGGAATACAGGCATGAGCTACTGTGCCTAGCCCTGTTTTTATTTTTATTTTTTTAATTAATTAATTTTTTTTTTTCTTTTTTTTGAGATGGAGTCTCACCCTATTGCCCAGACTGGAGCATACTGGTGTGATCTCAGCGCACTGCAGCCTCCACCTCCTGGGTTCAAGCAATTCTCCCACCTCAGCCTTCCAAGTGGCTGGGACTATAGGCATGCACCACCACACCTAGCTAATTTTTGTATTTTTTTGGTAGAGACAGGATTTCACCATATTGGCCAGGCTGGTCTTGAACTCCTGACCTCCGATGATCTGCCCTCCTTGGCCTTCCAAAGTGCTGGGATTATAGGCCCCCATGCCTGGCCCCGTGGTTGTTTTTAGAAGTCAGATCATTAAGCGTGTTAAATCCATCTGCTTTGAGTAAGCTTTGTAGTCTGTTCACAGTAGAGGCCAGTTTAAACCTTAAACACTTGGCTCTTGCATGTTCTCTGTTCTGGGAGGAAATAGAGGCTCATCTGCTCCTCCTCTGCCCTTCTTTTCACGCCTCGGCCCGTCTTCCTCTCCTCCCCTCCACCTCGGAAGATGCCTGTGTCTGGGCTGACACCTGGCACCTGCGCTGCCTGTCCAACAGAATCACCCATCCTCCCACTCCTCTCTTGCTTTCTGTTCACTCTGACCCCTCTGTTTTAAGACAAGCGTCTACAGCCGGGTACGGTGGCTCATGCCTGTCATCCCTGCACTTTGGGAAGCTGAGGCAAGCAGATCACCTGAGGTCAGGAGTTCTAGACCAGCCTGGCCATCATGATGAAACCCTCTCTCTACCAAAAATACAAAAATTAGGCCGGGTGCAGTGGCTCACGTCTGTAATCCCAGCACTTTAGGAGGCCGAGGCAGGTGGATCATGAGGTCAGGAGATTGAGACCATCCTGGCAAATACGGTGAAACCCTACCTCTACTAACAATACAAAAAATTACCTGGGCGTGGTGGCACGTGCCTGTAGTCCCAGCTACTCAGGAGGCTGAGGCAGGAGAATCACTTGAACCCGGGAGGTGTAGGTTGCAGTGAACCAAGATTGTGCCACTGCACACCAGACTGGACGACAGAGCGAGACTCTGTCTCAAAAAAAAAAATACAAAAATTAGCCAGGCATGGTGGTGTGCACCTTTCATCCCAGCTACTGGGGAGGCTGAGGCAAGAGAATCACTCGAACCCGGGAGGCGGAGTTTGTAGTGAACTGAGATTACGCCACTGCACTCCAGTCTGGGTGATAGAGTGAGACTGTTTCAAAAGAACACAAGTGTCTCCACTCTATTCAGAAAGGCATTTACCATATTGGGGCATCCTGTGGCATTCTCTTGCGACTGTCTACGTTCTGCCGCTACCTGCATGCCCTGAGGGTCAGGGTTCATCCACTGTGGGTGGATCAACGGCTGTGGGCTGACTTTTCGCTTTGCGCCAGGTCGAGGTCTCGAAGCGCTTGGGTTTGGGAGCACCAGGAACATGTGGTCTTGCGGGAGGGAGGGCCGGTGCAGAGATCTGCAAGTCCATCCACCTCCCAGGAACACAGTCGAAGGATGTGGGGCCTGCTTCGGGGCTGGGACCCATGGAGCCTCCCGGGCTTCCTGTGACATGGCCTCTTCAGCCTGGGTTCCAGGGTAAACCCTTGATTCCAGAGCTAGCCAGGTTATTTGGTCGGGCCCAACAGGTGGAGTTGAAATTGCAGACAGGGACGCATGGAGAATGCCTGCCCTAGTTCCCACGCGCTGCTCTTTCCGCAGGTACATTCTGATCGACTGGCTGGTGGAAGTTGCCACCATGAAGGACTTCACAAGCCTGTGTCTGCACCTGACCGTGGAGTGTGTGGACCGGTACCTGCGGAGGAGGCTGGTGCCGCGGTACAGGCTCCAGCTGCTGGGCATCGCCTGCATGGTCATCTGCACCCGGTGAGAAGCCCCCTCGGCCCAGCTGGCAGGGACGTCCTGGCCCATCCTGGGTTCAGGGTCACCTGCCCTTCGCGTGCTCCTCACTGGTTTGTTTTTTTTTTTGGAAACCAGTTCTCGCTCTGTCACCCAGGCTGGAGTGCACTGGTGCGATCTCGGCTCACCGCAACCTCCGCCTCCCAGGTTCAAGCGATTCTTCTGCCTCAGCCTCCAGAGTGGCTGGGACTGCAGGCGTGCACCACCATGCCCGCCTAATTTTTTTGTATTTTTAGTAGAGATGGGGTTTCACCATGTTGGTCAGGCTGGTCTCAAACTCTTGATTTCAAATTATCTACCCGCCTCGGCCTCCCAAAGTGCTGGGATTACAGGCATGAGCCACTGCACCTGGCCCTTACTGGTTCTTGACTCATGAGCCGTGAGTGTCCCACCTGGTCAGACGTGGAGTGCCATACTGAGGGCCCTCTGCAGGCAGGGGTGATGGAACAGCCTTCAGCGTGTGGGGGCCACTGTGTGGGGTGCCTGCATCCAGGCAATTTGTCCTGGTGTGCGGTCTCAGGACCCAGAGTGTGGCCTCACTCTGGCAGGCACAGGCTGAACCGCCCTGTCCCCTGGTTCCTGAGGGCGGCAGGATGACTGATTGGGGAGGGTGGCAGTCGGCTGCCCTTCTCTGAAGTCAGTTTCTAAAGTCTGTTGCCAGAGTTTCGTACTCTATTGGAGTTGAGGGTTTTTTGTCCCCCACTGGTGCCCTGCAATGCCCACTCTAACCACGTGGGTGTCTCTCAGCAGCAGGGTGAGTCCTTACACGGCAGTCTGTCCCTTTCACATCAGACCACTGCTTTCCTTTAACTAATGCTGGATCCACTAGTTCCGCCTTTGGGAATAACGTGGAAATGATTCTCACAATACGTTTTGCATTTCCTAAACCAGCTGTCCCCAGCATGGTCTACATTTCCCAAGGAAGTGCTTTCCAGACCAACTCCTCTGTAGAGCCTGGTGGGTGAGGATAGGCTTGGCTGCACACAGCGTATGTGTAAGCTACAGAGACTTGTTTCTCTCTTGCACAGGTAACCCAGAGGCAGAGGGTCCGGGCTCAGGTCATTGGGATGTTTTTTGTTTCACGAGGAAGCAGAGGAACCCCATCTCCCATGTTAATCTCTGCCACCAGCTAGGGTGCTGCCCTTGTCCCTGTGACACCTGTACCTGCCACATTTACCTTTGCACTGAGCTTAGTCTTGTGGCCACGTCTCACCAGATGGAAACTGGGAGGTGCAGTCTCTTTGGGCCTGCGTGTGCCGGCTCGATGCAGTGTCATTCCCACGGAAGGAGGGAGCAACCCCTGCCACAAGCATCCAGAGCTGTCTTCAGATGTGCTCTTGGGCCTGAATCCAGCATCCCAGGTGTTCCTACCAGAGACAGCTGAGGAGGTTGGGTGGCCGCCTCCCTGGATCTGACCACATATCCATCACCGCAACCTACTACCAAGCTCCTGGGCCACAAACCGGCTGGCAGTGAGAGAATAACCACTAAAAACGTTTCAGGGAGCTGAGTCCAATTTCTTCCCCAACCACAAGACCTGATAGCGGTGGTCCATATAATTATCACCACAGCTCCCTCAAATCAATTCTGCCTTATCTTTTTTTTTTCAAGCTGGGGGACCAGGCACGGTGGCTCACACCTGTAATCCCAGCACTTTGGGAGGCCAGTGTGGGCAGATCATGAGGTCAGGAGTTCAAGACCAGCCTGGCCAACATGGTGAAACCCCGTCTCTACTAAAGATACAAAAAATTAGCTGGGCGTGGTGGTGGGCGCCTGTAATCCTAGCTACTCAGGAGGCTGAGGCAGGAGAATCACTTGAACCCGGGAGGCAGAGGTTGCAGTGAACCAAGATCGCACCATTACACTCCAGCCTGGGCAATGGGGCAAGACTCTGTCTCTAAATAAATAAATAAATAAGCAAGCTGGACGTGGTGGTGAGCACCTGTAGTCCCATCTACTTGGGAGGCTGAGACATGAAAATCGCTTGAACCCGGGAGGCGTAGGTTGCAGTGAGCCGAGATCACGCCACTGCACTAATCCAGCCTGGGTGACAGAGGGAAACTCTGTCTCAAAAAAAAAAAAGGTTTTAAAGGCTGAGCTGCCCACCACCTCTGCTCTCAGAAGTGCCCTGCCCCAACCAGCCACCTCACACCCTACGCTGGGCTCCCTGTTGGCTACTGACATCTCATCTTTTTGGCGTCTGCAGTCCCTGCCCTGGCAGGTGTAGTCCCCGTGCCTCTTGTCCTCTTGGTCAAGTGAATGACACATGCAACCTGCAGAATCCCCAGGACGGAGCAGCCAAGAGACTTGGCCTCAGTCCAACGGGAAGGTGCCTTGCAGGGGCCACTGGAGCAGCGTGTTCCCTGATAGTTGGCGCTGGTGGACAGCAGAGAACAGGGTGACCCCTGCCTGGGGACAGTCAGGATTCCAGTCAGGATTCCTGTGGCCACACAGTACCGGGCACAGACTTTCCAACAACCCTTGGGCCCTTTGCCTCCAATTCCTAGATCTGGTGGCTCACCCACCTTCTGAGTCTAAAACATTTCCACCCCACTGATAGAGCTGTCACGTGACGGGCAAATCTCTGTCTTTGGTGTCTTTTAGCAAACTGAATGCTGGTGGCACTTGGGCCTTTTGCAGACATTTGTGAGTCTGCCTAACAGCCCTGCTGCTTTCTGTCTGCCTTGTGGCTCTCATCCTTCTTTCCAGCACTTTCTGACCTCCCCTCTATTGTTATTATGATGATTATTTTTTGAGACAGGGTCTTGCTCTGTCACGCAGGTTGGAATGCAGTGGTATAATCATAGCTCACTGCAGCCTCAACTTCCTGGGCTTAAGCAATCCTCCCACCTCAGCCTCCCAAGTAACTGAGACTATAGGCACATGCTACCATGCTCTGCTAATGTTTTATTTTTTAACTTTTTGAAGAGATAGAGTCTTGCTTTGTTGCCCAAGGTGGTCTCGAACTCCTGGCTAAGCTGTCCTCCTGCCTGGGCCTCCCCTTTTTTAAATGCCCCTTGTCAGCCACAGGCAGCTGGCTCCATTATGAAGCCTCTGTCACCAAAGCCCAAAGCCATGGCTCCCTCCCTACCTTGAAGCCTCCTAAAGCCTTGGGTCCCTGTGCCCCACCCCTGCCCCAGGAAGTGGGCTCCGCGCTGAGACCCCTTCTCGGCGTTGCAGGTTCATCAGTAAAGAGATCCTGACTATCCGGGAGGCCGTATGGCTCACAGACAATACGTACAAGTATGAGGACCTGGTGAGAATGATGGGCGAGATCGTCTCCGCCTTGGAAGGGAAGATTCGAGTAAGCAGTGGTTCCATTTTCCTTATTAATCCTGGTTGTTGCTGTGCTGGAGGGTGGGGGTGGGCATTTGGCTTTCCTGCTGTGGGAGGCCTCATGGACTCAGAGGGCAGCTCTCTCTGCTGTGCCCAAAGCCACGGAGCAGGAGGCCACGGTTGCACCACATCGCCACTTGCGCTGGTGCGCTGCGCATGCAGCATCAACGTGAACATCACCCGGGCCAGACCCTGCGCTGGGCCTGCATGTGACACTGCACCAAGGAGCCCCCAATCACTAAGAGCCCACACCCTCTCCCGGCTGTCTAGGTCCCCACCGTGGTGGATTACAAGGAGGTCCTGCTGGCGCTAGTCCCCGTGGAGCTGAGAACCCAGCACCTGTGCAGCTTCCTCTGTGAGCTCTCCCTGCTCTACACCAGCCTGTCCGCCTATGCCCCAGCCCGCCTGGCTGCCGCAGCCCTGCTTCTGGCCAGACTGACGCACAGGCAGAGTAAGGAGAGGCCCTTCCCAGGGATGCCTGTGTCAGGGAAGGTGCTCACATAGGAGGCGGCTGTGGGGTGGAAGAGTCCAGCATCCGTTTGTCCTGGTTACTTCTTCAGGGATGAGATACAGCACAGCTCCTAGCTTCAGTATGTCCCAGATTTCTGACTGTGAACCTGCATGCCCTACGTATGGGTTTTTTTCAAAACTGTTTTAAAAGGATTGCAACCCTGAGCTCCAAGAAGCTCCACAGCAGAGCCCACAGAACTATAGAGTGGAAGTGGTCAGGCGGCTGTCACCACAGCCCGTCCGTCCCCTCCATCCCCTCCATCCCTGGCCTGCTTTCTTCCCCAGCACAGCCCTGGACCACTCAGCTGTGGGACCTCACCGGATTCTCCTATGAGGACCTCATTCCCTGCGTCTTGAGCCTTCATAAGAAGTGGTGAGTTTTGGCCAGGCGCGGTGGCTCACACCTGTAACCCCAGCACTTTGGGAGGCCGAGGCAGGCAGACCATTTGAGGTCAGGAGTTCGAGACCAGCCTGGCCAACATGGTAAAACCCCACCTCTACTAAAAATATAAAAATTAGCCAGGCGTGTTGGTGCACGCCTGTAATTCCAGCTACTCAGGAGGCTGAGGCAGGAGAATCGCTTGAACCCAGGAGGCAGAGGTTGCAGTGAGTTGAGATCACGTCACTGGACTCCAGCCTGGGTGACAGAGCAAGACTCTGTCTCCAAAAACAAAAACTGGCCAGGCGTGGTGGCTCACCCCTGTAATCCCAGCACTTTGGGAGATCAAAGCGGGTGGATCACCTGAGGTCAGGAGTTCGAGACTAGCCTGGTCAACATGACAAAACCCTGTCTCTACTAAAAAAACAAAAATTAGCCGGGCGTGGTGGCGTGCGCCTGTAATCCCAGCTACTCAGGAGGCTGAGGCAGGAGAATCGTTTGAACCCGGGAGGCAGAGGTTGCGGTGAGCCGAGATTGCGCCATTGCACTCCAGCCCAGGCACCGAGTGAAACTCCATCTAAAAAAAAAAAAAAAAATTCCAGGACTTTCTTATCTCACACCTTTTTCACATTGAGAGCAGCTGCTCCCAACCCAAGCTCATTGCATAGGCAGCAGAACATACTAGAAAAAAATGAGGGTGTCTCCCTGACCTGTGGTAACTTGTACCTGTGTCAAGTTGTCATCTAGCTCAGGCGCTGGCACACTGTGGCCCTCAGACAGCATCTGGCTGCTTTTGTGAATGGGTTTTCTTTTTTTTTTTTTTTTTTTTTTTGAGACGGAGTCTCGCTCTGTCGCCCGGGCTGGAGTGCAGTGGCCGGATCTCAGCTCACTGCAAGCTCCGCCTCCCGGGTTTACGCCATTCTCCTGCCTCAGCCTCCCGAGTAGCTGGGACTACAGGCGCCCACCACCTCGCCCCACTAGTTTTTTGTATTTTTTTAGTAGAGGCGGGGTTTCACCGTGTTAGCCAGGATGGTCTCAATCTCCTGACCTCGTGATCCACCCGTCTTGGCCTCCCAAAGTGCTGGGATTACAGGCTTGAGCCACCGCGCCCGGCCATGAATGGGGTTTTCTTGGCAGCAGCCGTCCTCACTGGCTTCCACATCGTCTGCAGCTGCTTTTGCTCTGGCAGTGGCTGAGCTTATAGTGCAGCGGAGACCACATGGCCCCCAGTGGGGAAAATACTCACTCCCCTTCCCTTGAGAGAACAGCTTCCACCTCAGTGCAGCCGTTGGTATAGATCTATCCTCTGTCTCATTGAGAAGATGGAGCCTGCGGGCAGGTCCCTTGCCCCATCGTGCCCAGCTGTGGCCCCCTCTCTGCCCTAGCCCCGCTGGGCTTCCCTCCACCTGCCCCGGCCCCTCCACCCTTCTGTCTGCTGAGCCTGGCCCGGCTCTCGCTGCATCTGAGCCCCTTCACCTGCCCTGGCAGCTTCCCTTCAGCCCACGTTGGTTTGTTCTATGCAGTGCATGAAGCCCCCACCGTGGGCCGGGCGCTGGGGGAGAGGCCAGGACAGAGAGTTCAGAGGTCAGGTCATGTTGGGAGAAACAGCAGGCAGGAGGGGGGCATGTGGCACGGGCGGGTGCGGCTCCCTTCAGGGAGCGCAGCCAGGGTCACTTGGGCATCTGAGTCCCAGGCAAAGGGGGCAGCCATGCCAGGGCCCAGTGCAGACCAGCGGGGCCAAGGGCTGTGAGTGGAGTCATGGCAGTGAGGGGCAAGGGGGACAAGCATGGGGGTGAATTTGCATCTGACCAGCCATCTCCCTCTCGCCTCCTCAGCTGTGTTCACAGACTTGCTCCTCCCACCTCTCGGCACCACCACTCCCTGGTCTCCCCCTTCCCCGCTTCTGCCATGACTTCCCTTTCCTCAGCCAAATCCAGCAGACTCAGCAGTGTAGGCTTTTTTTTCCTTTTTTGAGTTGGGGGCCCAGGCTGGAGTACAGTGGCGCCATCCTAGCTCACTGCAACCCTGACCTCCCAGGCTTAAGGGATCCTCTTGTGTCAGCCTCCCGAGTAGCTGAAACCACAGGCACCACCACACCAGGCCTGGGTGGCTTTTCTCCAGCCAGCATTACGCTGACCCTCCCTCCTTCGGGGGCCTCAGCTTCCTGCCCTAGGCCATGCGGCCTGGGTATTAGTCTCCCTTCTCACCCACCCCAAGGGGCCAGGGAATTCTGGCTTTCTGCCACCCCTCAGACTCCTTTCCTGGGAGACTTCATCACTTCCAGGATTCAGACCACGTCTCAACCTTGACCTGCCACCCACCCTGCCAGTGTGACTCAGCCATTGGCCTGTTTCGGCCCTGGTGGGTTGTGGTGCATGAACCACTGTGCACCCAGCTGAGGCCTCCACCAGCCGCTCCTGCTTCTCCATCCCTGCATCCTCGCCAGTGCACTTTCCTCGTGCGCTCACCGCTTGGGGGCTGGAGCTATCCGTGGTGGCTGCCCAGCCTTCTGGAACACTGGCAGCCACCCCACATGTGTCTCGTGTACACTACCCAGGGCCTTGCTGTCCAGCTTCCAGGATGAGATCAGAACTCCCTAGGGGTCTCTTTGCCCTTGAGCAGCCCCTTCTCTGGCCCATCTGCTGTTTCTACCCCCATACTGTACTTCAGCCACAGGGGACCTGGTGGCATCTCCCGGGCTTTGGCATGTGCTGCTGCTCATGCTGCTTTCTCCTGCAGTGCCCGGACCCTGTGCCTTCTGGGCAAGGAACGAGGGTGACAGTAGAAGGGTCGGCATGGATCTTACCCCCCCACCTTTGCTTATGGGGAGCACAGATCGTCCCAACACTGGCCACCAAAAGCTGTTTCTGAGCTGCGTTTATTCTCTTCCACCTGAAAAAGTTAATTTTTTTTTTCCCAAACCAGATAAGTTAGAAACATTATTTACAAACTAAACTTCCTTTTATTGTATGATTTAATCGGCTTTTAGTTTATTCACACAGTTGTGCTTGTCATCACAACAATCAAATTTACAACATTTTCACTTTCCCCAAAGGGACAACACACCCCTCAGCTGTCACCCTCTGGTTCCCCGCAATTTCCTCAGCCCTAGATGACTCAGTGGTCTACTTTCTGTCCATGGATTTTTCCCATTCTGGACATTGCATATAAATGGAGTCATAGGACAGGTGGCCTTTTGTGTCTAGGTTATTTCCCTCAGTGTAATATTTGCTGGATTTGTCCATGTTGTGGTGTGTGTACCTGCTTTATTCCTTTTCATGGCTGAATAATATTCCCCTGCGTGGACCACATGTGTTTATCCATCCCACAGCTGGTGGACATTTGCCTATTGTGAACAGTCCCGCCATGAACATTCTAGTACAGGTTTCTGTGTGGACATAGTTTGTCCTTTTTCCTGGGTCTTTACCTAGAGAGAATTGCTGGGTTCTGTGGTGACTAAATTTAACCATTCGGGGAACCGCCAGGTCGGATTCCAGAGTGACTGCACCATTTTGCATTCTCATTGCTCACTTCAGTGAACTAAGGCTCAAAATGGGGTGGGGGTGCCTCACATGTCCACTCCACGTGACTGTTTCCAGCTTCCACGATGACGCCCCCAAGGACTACAGGCAAGTCTCTCTGACCGCCGTGAAGCAGCGATTTGAGGACAAGCGCTATGGAGAAATCAGCCAGGAAAAGGTGCCTCTCTCCTGCCACCTGGGCGTCTCATGGGGTGCTGGGGTATGGGCGGGCCTCACCCTCGGGGCCTCTGCACCCCCTAACTCTGGCTTCCCCTAAGGTGCTGAGCTACAGCCAGTTGTGTGCGGCATTAGGAGTGACACAAGACAGCCCCGACCCCCCGACTTTCCTCAGCACAGGGGAGATCCACACCTTCCTCAGCTCTCCCTCGGGGCGGAGAACCAAACGGTTAGTCACCCTGCGCCATACAATGCTGGCACCCTCATGCCGGCCCAGTTCCCTCAGCGCTCCCTCACAGAGAGGCCCTCAAGGCTTGTCAGGGGAGCAGCAGATCCCAGGGCAGTGACCCTGGGATGGAGCCCTGCAGTCATGCCTTAGGCCCCTGCGTAACCTCCACTGTCTCCAGCCCAGGTCTCCTTCCTCAGAGGCTGTTGCCTCTCCCTCTGCCTGGGCTCCCTGTGGAGGAAGATGGTTTCGAGCGTGCGGGAGCCCAGCCTGGCTCTAGCCCTGCCCGTGCCTGTCACGCGTATCCTGGACTTACCTGCTCCATGATGCTGCTGTCACTCCCGGCACTCAAGTTGTGACCTGAGTCACATCCCCAGCACTTCCCTCACCACCCGTGTGAACCTGTTTACGTGCCTCTCCTATCTCAGCACCTTGGCTGTTCCTCCCGGAGTTAACTTCCTCTTTCCACCTCACCCACCTGGAGAACTGCTATTGATTCTGCAAGGCCCCGATTAACAGGGCCCTCCCTGTGCTGCTGGCCCTGCCCCTGTGACTCCTTAGCACCATGTGCACCCATAACTTTCCCAAGTGCGGGCACTGGGTGGCTGGGTCTTCCCTGTCAATACAAGACCAGGCAGGGCTGCCTCCGGGAGCGTTGTGTGGGGAGTGGGCCCCTAGCAGTAGACCTAAACTCCTGGGGAGCCCTGGGGAAGCAGCCGAAGCCCCCACTACTGCTACTTCCTCCCCAAGAAGCGTGATAGCACTTTCCATTGTGCAGAAAGCAGGAGACCTGACCCTCCTGTCTCACTCCACACACGCACCGACTCCCTGGGGCCAGGGTCGTCACGAGGAAAGTCCATGTAGACACGCATAGCTACTCCAGGAGGGGGCCTGGCCCTGTGCTCAGCCTCACTGTGTTAAACCCGCTTCTCCAGAGGCCCCCCAAAGCCCCATCAGTCTCTGAGACAGACCCCCATGGGTGACACGGGTAGCTCTCTCCACCCCCGCTCCCCACTGGGCCCTGGGTTCAGGAAGTGGAAAGGCTCAGCTGGTGTGGCAGCTTTTCCCAGGCTCAGGCCCACACTCTGGCCTCCAGCCCCATCCCGAGCAAGACTTGACCTCAGCTGGGCATGGGTGCTGGCACCGCCCAAGGCCAGGCCATTGCATGCAATCTGCCTGGCCCCGGGCTGAGCACTGCCTGTCCCTTATTAATCAACACCAGAGGGGCCGGGCGCGGTGGCTCACGCCTGTAATCCCAGCACTTTGGAAGGCTGAGGCGAGTGAATCACCTGAGGTTAGGAGTTCGAGAGCAACTTGGCCATCATGGTGAAACCCCGTCTCTACTAAAAATATAAAAATTAGCTGGGTGTGATGGTGGGCACCTGTAGTCCCAGCTACTCAGGAGCCTGAGGCAGGAGAATCACTTGAACCCGGGAGGCAGAGGTTGCAGTGAGCCAAGATCACACCACTGCACTCCAGCCTGGGTGACAGAGCAAGACTCCACCTCAAAAAAAAAAAACAAAAAAAACACTGGAAGGTAGCATCATCCTGGGGGTGTCCAGGGGACCAGATGGTTGGCCCAGGCCCCACAGCTGAGCCGGGTGGGCTGGGCTTCACACCCAGACCTGGGGCCTGAGTTTGCCTGAGCTGTCCTCCAGGTTGGCCCTGCCTCAAGGGCTTATACCTGTTCTAGCTTCACCAGCATTTTCTACACAGCAGACCCTTTGGGAGCATGCAGTGACAGGCCAGGGCACGCGGGTGTTAGAGGTAGGTGCAGAGGGCCTGGCCTCCCAGCGCTGCCGCCCATGACCGGGTCTCCTGGGCTCTCTCCACCGTGCAGGAAGCGGGAGAACAGCCTCCAGGAGGACAGGGGCAGCTTTGTTACCACCCCCACTGCGGAGCTGTCCAGCCAGGAGGAGACGCTGCTGGGCAGCTTCCTCGACTGGAGCCTGGACTGCTGCTCTGGCTACGAAGGCGACCAGGAGAGCGAGGGCGAGAAGGAGGGCGACGGTGAGTGTAGGGCCAGGGCGCACCGGAAGGGACATCACACAGGGTGGCTCTCACTGAGGGTCTCTGGGCACCTGGCCCTGTGCGAGCGCTGTGGGAGGGAGGAGGATGTGCACAGAGCACAGGGCGGGGCCAGCTCCTGCCCTGCCGGGGAGTGTGTCCAGGCATGGGGAGAGTGAGAGGAGGGGAGAACCCCCAAAACACCACAGCTTCTACCATCACACAGGGATGAGAGGACTTAGACCACACCTATCTGGCTCCTGCTCGTTCTGTGCTGGGAAGACCTCACTAGGATGAGGGAGGTAGAGACCTGTCTGGAGTTCAGGGAGATCCTTCTAGGCCAGGTGTGGTGGCTCATGCCTGTAATCCCAGCAATTTGAGAGGCTGAGGCAGGAGGATCACTTCAGGCTAGAAGTTCAAGACAATCCTGGGTGACATAGCAAGACAAAAAATTTAAAAATTAGCTGGACAGGCTAATTTTTCTTTCTAGAATGTTGTTTGAGATGTGCCCACATGGTTTACATGACACTCCTCACTGCCCTGCTGGGATCACTGCCCTGTGCAAACCCCAGGCAGACTGCATGGGTCCTTACCAGAAGCCCAGTTAGTGTGAGTCCTGTCGATTTCCCAGTTGCTTGCTTCTGCATCCACTTGGCTTGAGCTAGATGCCCAACTTGTCATCTCCACTGTCGTTGGAGTCATGGTGGGCAGCTGTCCAACCTTGGAAGAGGCATGTCACCCACACTTCTCACCACAGGAGGGTAACACAGAGGACCATAGCAAGGTAGAAGATTCTTGACCTGCACTTCAGGGTCCTGACCTGGCAGGGGGTCTCCCCTGATGCTTGGGTGTGACATGATCTCCCTTCCCACCAACCTTCCTGCAGTGACAGCTCCCAGTGGCATCCTCGATGTCACCGTGGTCTGCCTGAACCCAGAACAGCATTGCTGCCAGGAATCCAGTGATGAGGAGGCTTGCCCAGAGGACGAGAGACCCCAGGACCCACAGGTACCAGCGCTGGATACCCAGATCCCTGCAACCCCAGGACCCAAGTCCCTGCTCTGCACCAGCCCAGAGCCAGGGAAGGACGTCACGACCTCAGGGTACTCCTCCGTCAGCACCACGAGTCCCACAAGCTCTGTGGATGGTGGCTTGGGGGTCCTGCCCCGACCTACCTCAGTGCTGTCCCTGGACAGTGACTCGCACACACAGCCCTGCCACCATCAGGCCAGGAAGTCATGTTTACAGTGTCGTCCCCCAAGTCCCCCCGAAAGCAGTGTTCCCCGGCAACAGGTGAAACGGATAAACCTATGCATACACAGTGAGGAGGAGGACACGAACCTGGGCCTTGTGAGGCTGTAAGTGTGTCAGCGCATTTGCCGCAGTGGATGTGTACTGAGGGGGCTGGAGGCGAGGGGTGGGAGCACAGCATAGGAATGCTGTGTAGCTCCCGGAGGCCTTCGCACAGAGCAGAGAGGGTAACTTGTGGCCACCAAGTTTCTTTCTCCGCGGGAGTCCCGTGCAAGCTATGAGAATGTTGAAATGAGAGTGAAGAGGTCAGATCCCTCTCTTTGGAAAGTTGAGCCTCAAAGCAGTTGGCCGCACTGCATGGAGGGCACCTCTCTGTCCCTTCCGTGTCTCACTGTCTCTAGAAGCTTCAGCCCATGTGTGTCCTGGTCTTCCCAGCCCCAACAGAGCCCGGTGCCAGGAGCTGACAGCTTTCACGCTCAAGGCACGTGTGACCTGGGTAGTCAGACACCACTTGAGCTCCTGCCCACATCTGTCTGGTTTGGTGCTCCAGTGGGGAGCTGACAGCTCTGAGCACACCACTGTCCCCTCATCCACCTTGGTCTGCATGGGGCACCCACTTCCTTCTGGGTGGGTATTCCATGGTAAGGGGGCCTGTGTCCCTGCACACTGCGTGGACTCCCTACGACACGTTACTCATTTTAGAGCTCTGTCCCAGAGGCTCTGTCCCAGACATTTGTCTGTGGACCCACAGATGTTGTCAATGTGAACACCTCTCTTTGTGCTGAATTTCTGGGCCATTCTTTTCCTGTCTTTGTTTCTAAATTTCCTTCTTCCAAGATGAAAACGAGAAAAACTTAAAGCAGAAGGTATTAAAAAAACAAGAGATTCCTACCATTATTTAGGTTCAACTGCAAAACAAAAATCTTACTCCAGCCCCTCAATGCCATCCTGACACACTTTATGTAAAAAGAATTTTCCCAGAGAGGCTAGCCAGAAAAAACTTGAAGTCCCCTCTAACATCTGAGGTGACCAAGAGGCAGAGGAGTAGAGCAGTCGGGGGCCGTGTCCTGGCTGATCCCAACTGCAGCTGTGCTCTGGGGACCCGTGGGAGGGAGGCAGACCCCTGGGCTTTCCTGCTGGCCACAGAGACTCCGATCCTGCATGGAAAGGGAGCCTGGGAGACAGCAGTCCACGCCTGGGGAGCCTGTCTGGGGCCATGTGACCGTGGCCTCTCCCTGGGGATGGGCTTACCACAGCACACTCACCCTGCTGCCATCCACTTCTGTTTCCTCTGCAAATGTAAGAAAGAACCACTTGACCAGAAGTGTCCCCCAGATGCTTTTTTTTTCTTTTGAGATGGAGTTTTGCTCTTTTCACCCTGGCTGGAGTGCAGTGGCATGATCTCAACTCACTGCAACCTCCGCCTCCCAGATTCTGCCTCAGCCTCCCAGGTAGCTGGGATTCTGCCTCAACCTCCCAGGTAGTTGGGATTACAAGCACCCAACCACACCCGGCTAATTTTTGTATTTTCAGTAGAGACGGGATTTCACCATGTTGGCCAGGCTTGTCTCGAACTCCTGACCTCAGGTGATCCGCCCACTTCGGCCTCCCAAAGTGCTGGGATTACAGGCATGAGCCACTGCGCCTGGCCCCCCAAATGCTCTTGAACCAGAAGCCCAAGGCTGGGAGATGCTCACTGAGCTGCTGCTTTTCTGTGTGCTGGTGCTGGTGCTGTGTGTGTTTGTAAGTCTGTGGCAGCTGTCTTCTTGCCACTATAAGGGAATTCTGGCCACCCTGGGTGGGGTGTGGTCGGGGTGAGAACCGAAGCGTTGGAACTGTAGACCCGTCCTGTCAACTGTGTGCCCCTGGGCATGTGTGAGCCTCAGTTTCCTCATCTGTAAGAGGGGGCGATGATAGCCTACCTCACAGGGGTGTTATGAGGATTAAATGTGAGGAGGATAGTGACAAATGAGTGATGGACGTCCTTTGCTGCCTCAACCCCTTGTCCAGGGGCTCTTTTGTCAAAATCCCAACTCTTCATGGAGTCAGTTCTCTGCTTTCTCCCAGCTTGCACCTGAAGGAGGAAACTACTCCGGGGGAGCCTGGCATCACCTGCTGGGGTGGGTGGTCTCCTGCATCCCGAGTGCTGCCTCCTCCTTCACAGAGAACCTCCAGGGAGGCAGGGCCACCGTCACCCTCCCCCACCGCTGATGGAGGGGCCCATCCTGAGCGCTGGGCCAGAGCTGCCTGGGTCCCAACCTCCCTGACAACTCCGTTTGTGCCCTCCTTCCCTTCTGCGATGACACCTTCCCATTAACGACTATGGAACAGACTCACCTGTCCCATCTTTAAACAGCACCCCCAGGTCTGTCTTTCCTCCAGCTACCGCCTGGGATTTCTTGACCCTAATTGTTTATTCTTGTTAACATCAACTACATGGGGCCCTGCTGCCCTCCTCACTTCCTCCCCCAGGTGTCCCCTGCATCACTGAAGGCCCTGTCCGCCGACCCCCCCACCCCCCGGTGCTGTGTACACCGCCGAGACCTCAGCAGCGCTTGGCCTGTGACCCAGTCCCTCCCGCGACAGCCTCCTGTTGCCTCTGTGACACTGTCCTACTGCTGCTCCACCTCCCTGGCCATTGCCTGGGCCCCGTCACCTGTCCCTACCCATCCCCTGCCCCACCAAGGGCCACCTCGCCGAGCCCACTGCTCCAAGGTCTGAGCTTCCTCCCCTCTGCCCAGTGCTATCACGTCACATGTCCAAAAGTGAACACTTTCTCCTCCCTCATCCCCGCTCCTGACAGGAGGCATCCGCACCTCCAGCAACCCCGTGCTTTCCCTGTGCTCGGTGGCCCGGGCGTCAGCAGGATGGCGGGTCCCTGCGGTAGGCCACTTT